CTCTCTCTCTCTCTCTCTCTCTCTCTCTCTCTCTTAGTTTCCCAAACCCAGCAACTTTCTCTTCTACTTCTCTCCCAATGACCCCAATCTATATCAAGATATTCATTGTTATGACCCTAGCAAATAAGCGGTAAGCGTGCCTCAAAAAAAAGGGTCTCCCCTTAAAACATGGAACTTCGGCAAGAGAATAAAAGCTTAAAATAGACAGAGGAAAATTGACCTCCACACTCTCTTGCCCATGGTTCGTACTCATTCTCTTGCCCATGATCCCTGTTCTCTCTCTCTCTCTCTCTCTCTCACAGTATGAGCCCATACTCCTTGTCCCCATACTTCAGATTTGCTCACAACTGATTCAAATTAGGATGTGGTTTCTTTAAGTCAGCTGGCTCCTGTACACGTGTCCTCTCTCTATGTTACATTTTATGGACGGCTTTTTATATCCAAATTTTTAGGGATTCATGATCTAGGCCAAGGTCATTATGAATAAGAAAAAATTATAATAAAATAAAAAAATTTAAAAGATTATGATCGGGTAACTGTGAACATGATGATTAATTTTCCATTATCATTTTGGACAAAATTTTCTAAGATCTAAACTATATTGAACATCAACATAAACTAGAAAAAATAGAATTAATTTTCGAATAAAAACTCGTAATTTTTTATGAATTTTATTTGGACGGTTGATTTGTAGGTTTCAATGGGACAACCACATTTTCACATCCATCTTTAAGATGCATGTTAGGTGCATTATGGGGTGCACATGTAAAATTGTGTCCCCTGATGCACACAACACTCTACCAGCAATAATAATTCACTAATTACACAAGGAAAAGTCTTAAAAACGCCATAGGGCAAAAATGAATAGTGTTTCACCCATCTAGTAGAGCTGTTGTGGTTTTACGTATTTTTCACGTGAAAAATCGACTGCACCGGACAGGGCTATGTCTGTTGCAATTGCAACGGACATAGCATGTCCGGTGAGTTCGATTTATCCACCCCGCCCCAAAAAATCGGACGGCGCCAAGCCTATGGGTGAAAATATTGTTCATTTTCACCCATAAGCGTTGCGTAGTGGCTTCCAATATTGGACCGAATGGATAATATGAACATGACTATGGAAAACAATGACTCACTGCTCGATAGGTTTGATGTGTAACATTTTCATTTTTGATATGTTAATAATGGCCTCTTTGGTGGACAGAGGGAGTGGGCAAGAGAGTTGGGGGGAACAGATAGAGTGAAGTGCTATGGGTTATGCATCTTTTCTACCAATGCTTTCATCTATTCAACCCTAATGCCCAAGAATGTGATTCCAAACATGAATATGAAAATATGGAGGGAGATACATTATTTCTTTCTTCTTTTTTTTTCCTTTGCCTATAGAATTAAAGTGATTAACTTTAGAATATTGGCGAGAAAAGTCATTGAGTATCTAAGATGGTGTGATTTCTTAGTGTTTGAGGCTGTAGGTCCTTTAACATTATTTGGATTTATATTCTTTATAGGCGAACAATATACATGCCACAACAAATCTGGATCGTCCAGATTGTTGATATTGTATTTTTTAAAAAAATACAATACTAACTTATATATTATAACTCGTCATTTTCAGATCACAAAATGTGCATTGGCATTTTAGGTGCACATACTAACCAATATTCATGGTCTTGCGATCGAATCTTGTCATCGGACATGTTCTAAGGCTCATGCAAAGGTGCATGGCCTTTTGGGTTTTTTTTTTATATTATAACTTATCATTTTCAAATTACCAAATGGGCATTGGCTTTTTGGGAGCACGATTTATCCCATATCCATTGGTCTAATAAGGGTGAGGAGTTGAGGACCTTAAACTTTCCCTTAACCCGTCCCAAGCTCGAGTAAAAGAGATGCGTTGAGTTAGGTAGGCACCCGACCTAAAACTTTGAACATCTTATCACTAATCCTAAAAGCGAAGAATAGAGGAACATAATTCATGTAACCGACCCCAAATCATTAGGATAAGGCTTGATAGATGATGATAAACCAATGGCCATCCATCCATTATCACCCTTTCATATCTCACACGAGCTTATAAACGTTCACATGACGATGGTACACAGACACAATAAAATCAGTTCAGAATTAAAATATAGTAATAGCTAACAATGTTGTGCAACCCATTCCAACTATTCACAGAGACTTGTACATAAGATTACCTTATCGATAGAAATGCACCATTAACAAGTTGTGTAATACATCATTTTTTATCTTAATGAAGTGAATTGATCGTGACCTCAATTCACATTAAAATTGCAATGTGACTACCTTTTGAACCTCCTTACAATCTTTTCCTACTCTAGTTGCCATTCTTTGAAATTGGACATAAGTGTCATTACCAAATATGTGCTTCATAGAAAATTTGCGGGACACTGACTATTATATCATCATCAGAGCTTTTTTCCAACTATTTGGGGTAGGCTACATGAATCCTGGTCCGTCATTCTGCTCTATCAACACCGACTATTACATATGAATAAAAAAACTTTGTAGGTGAAGCTCGCTCCCATGGTATAGGATACTTGGTTCCTGGTATGATGGAATCGTGGTTCTGAATGACATTGGAGACATGATTTGGGGCATGCAGATACGGGCCCCATTTGCTAGGGAACCCATTCCCAAATTATTAAAATCGAGTTTCCATAACTCCAGAAACGAAATCCAAATAAGCAAGGAAGCACCTAGAATCAAGATCTGGTCATTCAGAGCGTGGGATCAAGATTCAAGGGTGGGAGTGGAGCCCTACATAGGCACTCCTGGTAACTATGGGTACCACAGTACTTTTTCTCTATTTGTCTGGAATTTTTATAACTCTTAACACCTTGTTGAACAGTTTGGTCAACCAGCATATGTCAATCTCCCCCATGCACTTTCAAACCTCTAATGGGATATCATCTCATTCTAAAGCCTTTCCTATCTTCATCTTTCTCAAAGTTTCTTTTACTTCAGACATCCTAATCCTACGAATGTATCTATGACCTCCACCCTCATTTATGTGAAAGGTTCCTCTTAACACTATGTTTCCATAGTATTCATCATTTAACAATTTTTGAAAATAAATTCTCCACCTTTTATTGACCTCATCGTCTTTACCAAGGCCTTTTGATCCTCACCGTTACTGCATTTAATATGATCTAAATCCCTATAATTCTCTCTCTCATTTTTGCTAGTTTGAAGACATCATTTTCGTCTTCTCTTATTCCCAGTTTATTGTATAGATTATCGTATGCCTTAATTTTAGCCTTATTTATTATTTTCTTGGCGTTTTCTTAGCATTTTTATATTCTTTCTAAGTTTTGAACATCTATACTATATTGTCAAGCTTTATAACATGATTGTTTTTCAGTAGTAGCTTTCTGAACCTCATCACTCCACCACTAAGTTTCTTTATCAGAATTTCTTTCCCTTTAGTTTGTCCGAAAACTTCTTTTGCCACTTTCTTAATACAGTTAGCTATCTCATTCTACATAACATTAAATTCATGCTCAGAATTTTATTTTCCTTCTTTTCCCAATTTATCCCTAAATAAGTTTGTTTTCTCCTTTGTTAAATTCCACCAATTAGTTCTTAGACACCTATTAATTTCACTCTTCTTTCATCTCTTTATGCAGACATCCATAACCACAAGCTTATGTTGCATGGTCAAACTCTCTCCTAGGACAACTTTACAGTCTTTACACGATGATCGATCTACCTCTTAACTAGAAAGAAATCTATCTAGCTTTTATATGATCCACTTTTATAAATATTAAATGTTCCTATCACTTTTCAAAGTGGGTGTTTGCTATTGCTAGGTTGTAAGCCATAGTAAAATCGAAAATAGCCTCACCCATATCATTTCTTTCCCCAAACCATATCCCCCATGTATCCTTTCATATCCTCTACTATTTTTTCCTACATGACTATTTAAGTCCCCACCTAAAATAGTCCTCTCTCTATTTGGTAGTTCTTAGACTAGCCCATCCATGTCCTCCTAGAATTGTCTCTTAATTTTTTCGTCTAGTCCTACCTGTGGCGCAAAAGCACTAATTACATTAATTATCTCCTCCCCTAACACAAGTTTAATTAATATGAGTCTATCACCTATTCTCTTTATATTAACTACTTTACCCTTTAAATCTTTGGCTACTATGCCTACACCATTTCTATTATTATCTTTTCTTATATACCAAAGTTTATATCCATCAATTTCCTTAGCTTTTTCCCCTTTCTACTTAGTTTCCTATAGGCATTTACGAAATTTATATATGATACCAAAAGTTCACTCAGTAAATATAAAAGACATTGTACGACGCTCCTGGAAATTTAATATCATATCAACTTGTCGACTAAACCGACCAATAAAATCAAGACTGATTTGAGTTGTGGAAAACAAGAATATGATATGCTACAGTAAGATGCAATAAAGATACTGCAGACAGATCACTAAAAGATAAATTCTCATGCTTTTCTACTGCCTAACTAAGAACCAAACAACTACATGGACTAATAACTTAGGCAGAAGATCTAGAAACTATGACAACTAACATTGCACAAAACCTTGACAAGTATCCGATTCCATGCTCAAGGTTCACATGTGTGGGATATTAGCCCCTTCCCATTAATGAGTATTTAGCTGATGCTGGATTCGTGTTAGCTATTAATTATTGGAGAAGCCAAATATATAGCACTATAGAAATTGAAGAGGGGAAAGCAAATAACACCTTCTCAGACTAGGAATCAAATAGAACACATACCAGAACAAAAAATGCTGTCGACAAAAGGGATTTCAACACATAAAGAGACAGAGTTAGGGTCAGCACAGCAACACCGATCCTTGCTATGGGTCGTGGAACAGAATCCTGACATCACAAATACTGCAAAAATGTGATAATGCAACACCATACATAAATCTAAAGAAAGCATTCAAATTTGCTTGGAAATCAGAGTTTAGTTGCAAAGAGAAAAGCAGTAACACGGAGAATATCATCTGCAATGCAACAACAAGAAACCTACAGGCACAAGATTAGTTCCAGCTTCTAGGCCATCCTTGCCTACCCTCCATGCTGTTTGAATAACTGTTTCATGAAAACACATGATGAAGTTAGAAAGCTAAAAAGAGAAATACCTTCTATCATGAGATTACCAAGCACAAATGTTGGAATGTACAGAAAACAATAATGATCTAACTATTAATCACTCCTAGAATGTCAATTCTATGCAATAACGTAGAATAAGATGCAATCAAAAACTCGATGAACATAAAATTGTGTAGGAATCAGGTTTGGGCTTGAGTAGCTAGCAGCTGATGTTTAGCAGCACTACATCCCAAGTTCGATTCCCACTGCTGAACTACCCCAAAAAAAGAACATAAAATTGTACTTGGCCTGGAGTGCAAGGATCACTAGAGCTTCAAATAATCATGGAATTATTGATTTATTTATACTTTTGCAAACAGTTCTGAAATAACTTCATATAACTCTCTAAATTGCATGTCTGTATGAAATTATATGCAAACTGCAACCATGAGGGCAACAGGTAAAATTTCTATGAATGTTCCATCTGCATAACCTCAAAGTCCTCAGAAATATTCCATACCTTATGCGCAATGCCAAATTATATCTTAAAAATTCTATGTCTAGCAAAGTTTCGACTCAGCTCAAGAGTTACGACACTGCAGAGCCCAGTGACTTGCAGACTTGGAGACTCGCAAATCATATATGGAGGGTTTCATCAACACGTCAAATAAATTAAAAGAATAGATCTTTAAAAATAAAATAAACAAATAAAAAAGAAATGATATCATGAGGTTTGGGCAACACCCATACCCTTCAAATAAAATTGACAACGCAGCAGGAAAGTCCAGAAGTTTAAATTTGTTCTACTTCTAATTGCTTTTTCCAAAAGGAATCTGGACAGAGGCAAGACAGGTTGATTTAGGTGAGTCCCAAGTATCAAAACAGAGTCATTCATTACGGTGTCCAGAACGATTTGAAAGTCCTCTTTAGAACCATTTAAAGTTGATAGTCCTCAATAGTTACGGAACTTCCTACTCCTCAATAGTAAGGGTGTCATTTTGCATAGTGAACTTCCGCCTCTAGCTTAAGTCACAAATGTTAAATCAATAGCTCAATTTCCACAAAAAGGGCCAACATTTCAAAAATCAATGACCAACTAAAGCTAAGGGGCAATGCTGAGCACAATGGAAGACTTGTATTATAACCTTCGTTATGAACGTTGTCAAAAAATGTGATTAATTTGGAACTGCACAGAAAAAGGAATGAACATGTAAGAAAAAGGACATAAGTGTGACTCAAAAATTATTGGTTGGCCTTTCAAGCTTTTGCCTAACATTCAGTAAAATATCATAGAAAATGCTAGGACCAGCCAACTAGGGGGAGGTATTATCCACAGAATGGAGGAACACAAGACCCAGCTATAATAGGCATGTTCAACTCCATGGTTGAATGTGTCTAAACATGCTCGTGAAGGGTGACCAACGGTGCTACATGTAAGTTTAACTATAAAACTACTGGAAAATACCCATTACATAATGAATTTGTTAAACCTTAAAGCTTATATGAAGTGACAGGGGGCCAAAGACATAAATTCACAGCAAAAGAAATATCCATAAGCAATTACAGAACAAACCCAATAGCATGAGTACAATGTAAACAGACTCTTGTTTACTACTCTTCCATTGAGTAAGAGGAATTCCAAGAAATGACAGTACCCAGTAATGAATTGAAAAGTACTAGGACTTGCCCGCTATGAACCAAGTAACAAGATCAAGCGATACAAATGAGGCACGTATGCAAGCCAAACTACTATACCAATCATATTCATATGATAATAATATGAGATCATTGAGGTTCAGCAACAAATGGTGAACTGTACAAACTGCACCCATAATATGTGGATGAGCAACAATCAAGACGCCTAAAATGAATAGATCGCAAACAATTTCAACCATCTGTGCATGGTATGCATGGTACTTCACATTCAAGTAAGAGAAGTACTCACTCACAGGTCTGGAAGAGCACAAGAAGTGAGACGCTGTATACACCAGTGTTATAATGCTATATATCCTCTAATATACAAGTGACTTTGATGCCAAGGAACTATCTCAATACTTGTCATTACACACATCACTGTGGCCAGTAAGGTAGCAGATAGATATTACAGTAACCAGGGATACCCTTGGATTTTAGAACTTCTTTTACACTAAACTAGCTGGGGTTTGTGCCGGAACCCACCTGTTGTATTATTTTTCATTAAGATTTACAACGCATGGGAAGGAGTGGTTGTGTGGTACAATATTTACAATAGACCTCACTAAGAGTCTGTCTCTCACTCTATGTACAGAATGAACTCAATATATTTGGGTTCTCGCACTTCAAGGTCTATTTGGAATTTGTATTCCTCATCTTTCATATGTTACTTTTTTTTTAAATTCCTTGTCTGGGGGATGGGGAGTTATATTTGCTTTAGGAATACTATTTCAAATTTTCCATGTGATCTCCCCAATTTCCCATGAATTGTATGATGATTATGATTCTTTGCCAACTGATTTCTTTCTTTCCACACAGGAATTCATTCCAACTTAGTACTACGAACTCCAAATTCTATATTTGATTTGTATTTGGCGGATTGTTATCAATAAGGCTCGAATGATGATGATAATGATGATTTACCGAATTGTCATCAATAAAAACCATAATAGCTTTCAAGATGTCCCTTACCAATACCATGTATCTGTAATCAAATGGACAAACAATGGCCTATGATCCAAAGGTCAAGCTACTTTCTTGTCTATCACCAAGCTCCAAGAAATACGACTTTCTTTTCATTTTTCACACTCATCCAACAAGATACTAAGTAACCTCATCTGAGTATCGTAGGTACCAAATAGGGTGTCAAAACCAATTCTACACGACACATAATTGGCTAATGGGTCAAGAAATTCAAAACGTGATGCCATGTACAAGATCAGTATATTCCTCAGTTCTTGGAAACATCTCAGGAGCATCTTTTTTTTTTTTCAAAGGAGCGTCTCTAGAAGAAAGAAAAATGACAGGCGAATAGACAATTTTCCATAAGGAACTGCCCCGGGATCAAAAGTTTTTGGAGCAGGAATGCCACCCAAGTGTAAGGTTTAAGGAACTTGAGGTAAGAATGGCCTGGCATTAACATGTACAGTGGGAATGTAATGATGTTGAGTATGGTAGATACCAACAGATATCCTATATAGTTAGATCCAGAGGTAAAGAAGGTTGTGCTTTTGATTTGCTATCTCAAAGTTTGTCAATGACTTAAATTTTGAGCTTGAGCTTACATGAGGCATTCAACTTAAGAGAACACACAATGATTACAGAGAAGAAACTACATGACGACTACTAGCATGAATGTTACCTATGAAAAAGAAGTGCATAGGTTCGCATTATCAGCAAAACTAATATTTGATGATCAATTACTAAATGGCATAAATGCATAGAAACCCTAAGCTTTGTTTTTGGTTCAACAACTAGATAAGATCTCCATACACTGGGTCATCATCATCATAGTTTTTTTCCAATTAATTGGGGTCAGCTACATGAATCCTGGTCTGCCATTTTGCTCTATTAAAGGTCATACCCTCAGTGAGGCCATAAGTCCCCATGTCTTTTTGGACTACTTCCAACCACGTCGTTTTGGGCCTACCCTTTTTCCTTTACAGTCCTTCCACTTGAACTAACTCGCACCTCCTAACAGGTGTTGTACTCGGTCGGCACCACACATGGCCAGCCCACCTAAGTCTACTCTCTCTCATCTTATCACCTATTGGTTCCACACCTAAATTCTCCCTAATGGATGCATTTTGAATGCTATCCCTTCTTGTCTTGTCACTCATCCATGTCAACATCCTCATCTCCGTTACATTCATGCTATGGGTATATTGTTTTTTGTCCAGCCAACATTCTGCTCCATAGCGCAAAGGTGATCTCACATATGTCCTATAGAACTTGCCCATCAACTTCATTTGTATGCGGCGATCACATAAAATTCAAAATGCACATTTCCACTTCGCCCACCCAGCTCTAATTTTGTGTGCGACATCTTCTTCAATCTCTCCATTTTCTTGGATTATCGACCCAAGAGGCATCAAGATCTAATTAGAGGCATCAAGATCTTTATGTATAGGATGCCAGCTTGTCAGACAGCAAATAAAACCAACACACGCACAGCATGAATCCATTGAGAAAGTTAAAAATAATGAAAAACGATGAAGATGTTCATACAGAAATTAATGCATCATTAAGTCTCTAAAACTTCTTTCACCAAATATAGCAGTATTTGCAATGGGAGCAGTGAGACAGCAGGTCAGCATCAAAATGACTACAGATCTAAACATTACAATGGAAGTGGTAAGGCAGCAGGTCATCATCCAAATGGATAGATTGGATGGATGTAATACATATACTAAGATCTGATCAAGGAAGGCCATCATTACTTACCCAAAAAAAATAAAATCAAGCCACATTATCACAAGGGTTATCACACTAAGGATCATAAGTAGAACAGGATGTATAGGCATTTACTTCCCATAACATGTCAACTTGACTGATCGAGATGATTAGGTCACAGAACAGTCATCAATTAAGATTGCATTTTGGGGGGTTGACTATTTGATAATTCACAAGCCAACTGTCATATACAGCAATACAGGAAAGCCTTAGGACACAAGGCCATGAGTTAAGGTCATATGCATGACAGGATCCAGTACTCCAGTTCAAGCTCTACAGTCATTGTTTCTAGGAAAGTGAACTCTCTTATACTCTTAATAGAAAATTAACTTACCAACTACATTAAGCATTCACCACTAGTTAAAGAACATATGATATTGGTCATAGTTTTGTTCATAGATGGATGCTTCTGGCAAGATTTGGAAAATGTGTAAAGCATCCTTTAAACCAAAGAGTGGTTTCATCTCCAAAGCCTCGATCTAAGAATAGGAATCCATGTCAAGATCAAAGGATCATGTTATACCAAATACTTTACTGACAATATGAGTAGGTACACAAAAAGAAAGCCAACACTGCCCATATCATTTTAGATCTACAAGCTATTTCTGGATGAAACAAAATGCATGCAACATAAGGAAATGAGAAAAGAAAACATTGTTCATGAGAAAATAAAACCAGAACCATGAGAGATTTTGTGTTTCTCAAAAAAGATCGATGTAAAACCATCTTTGCTCAAATTATATGGGTAAGTTGTCCCTTTTCCTTATTTTTATGTTTTTACAGCTAGACTTACAATGGAGTGTGTTGCATTTTGTTTTTAAATAGCGAAAATATGATACCAAAATAAACAGCATGTAATATTGAAACAGTAATGAAATAATATGCATTATTTCTCTTGGATTCAGGACCTGAACACAACCCAGCATGGTCTGAGGCTGACCTGGACACTAACGCAAGGATCAAGAACCTAGACCTGAACAAGGATAGTATTATATACTCTCTCTCTCTCTCTCTCTCTC